TCCATGTGTTTATGGAGTTCTTGTGATTTCTTTTGTCATTAATTTCCAGTTTCATTGCCCTATGGTCTGATAGTATGCATGAGATAATTTCAACTCCTTCGCATTTCCTTAAGCATGTTCTATGTGCTAGCATATGGTCTATTTTAGAGAACGTCCCATATGCAGCTGAGAAGAATGTGTATTCTGATGCTACTGGGTGGAACACTCTGTACAGGTCTACTGAGTCCATTTGTTCACATGTTTGGTTTAATTCTGTTATTCCTTAGCTAATTTTTTGTCTAGTTGATCTATCTCTTTGTGACAATGGGGTAGTCAAGACCCCTATTATGATTGTGTTGCTGCTTATTTCATTTTTCATGTCTGTTAAAATTTGTCTTACATACTTGGGTGCTCCTGTGTTTGGTGCATAGATGTTTATGATTGTTATCTCTTCCTCTTGAAGTTTTCCCTGCCCAAGTATGTAGTGACCTTCTTTATCTCTTTTAATTGTTCTTGGTTTGAAGTTCCCATTGTTTGCAAACAGAATAGCTCTACCCGCTTTTTTTTCTGGGTACCTGTCACATGGAGTATTGTTTTCCATCCTTTGATTTTCAGTCTATGGATTTCCTTCTGAGTTAAATGTGTTTCTTGTGTACAGCATAGTGTTGGATTTTGTTTCTTGATCCAGTCTTCCAGTCTACTTCTTTTGGTTGTTGAATTGAGTCTGTTTACATTGACCATGACAACTGCTATGTATTGGCTTATCTTTGTCATGTTGTTTTCCTGCTGTTGATTCCTCTGGTTTCCCTCTGTTTAATTGCTTGCTCTGCTTGATGTTTCCTTTCTTCTGTTGTTCTTAAAGTTGTGGTCTACTTTACCTCTTTCTAGAATATCTTGTAGTACTCTTTGTATGGTTGGTTTGGCGCTCATGAAGTTCTTTAGTTGATCTTTATCATGAAAATATTTTATTTCTCCATTAATTTTGAAAGATAGTTTTGCAGGGTACATCAATCTGGGTTGGAAGTTGTTTTCGTTCAGTACCTGAAATACTTCACTCCAAGCTCTTCTTGACTTGATGATTTGTGTTGAGAAATCTGCCATGATTCTGATGGGCTTCCCTTTATAGGTAATCTGTTTCTTTTCTCTAACAGCTTTTGATATTCTGTTCTTTTGTTGAATTTCTGGGATCTTTATCACTATATGTCTGGGTGGAGATTTATTTTGGTTATGACTAGTTGGAGTTCTGTATGCTTCACTTACACAGATGTCCAGTTCTTTTTCCATGCTTGTGAAATTTGCTGCTATTACTTCTGCAAATAGTCTTTCTATGTCATTTGTGCTGACACCTGCTGTTTCATTGTTATCTATTAATCTTACATTGTTTTTCTTTGCTTTGTCTTGTAGCTGTTGAATTGTTATTTCTTGGTTTCTTGTTATTTTTAAGAGATCCTTCCTTTCACAGTCATTGAGAGCAATGCTGTCTTCAAGGTCTGAAAGTCTATCTTCAGCTTCATTCAAGTGGTTTTGCCAACTTTCAATGGAAGTTTTAATTTCCTGGATATCTGTTTGAATCTGTTTCATGCATCCCAGTTCTTTCCTATAGTGTTCATTCAAAGTTCCTATTAATTTACTATGCTCCTGTGGCTCCTGAGCTCTGTGGCTCAGCTTGGCCCCCACTCAGGGGTTCCCAAAGCTGTCCAGGTTTCAGCCCTGTTTCCACTGGGGTGTAGTAGTGGGTGGGTTATGGTCACCATGTCTCCATACACTGCCACTACCCCACCTGGTTCCCACACCAGTGGGGGTGGTAAGTGCAAAGTCACTGAGGCCCCTGAAGCTGTCTGAGTTTCAACTTAGCTACCTTGATGGTGTGGGATGGTGGCAGGGAGGGGCAACCAAGTCCTTTGAAGTTGTCTGGGGTTCCCCTTTGCTTCCAAGCAGGTGGGGCGGAGGTGGGGTGGGCTTACCAGAGTTCCTGAAGCTGTCTGAGGTTCAGCTCATCTCCAGTGGGGGAGGGGATGTGGTGAAGAGTGGACCCCAGTCCCCTAAAGCTGTCTGGGTTTTTGCCTGGCTCCCAGTGACTCCTTTTTCTATTTGTATCCATCGTATTTATTTTTATTATCTGATCAGTCTAGCTAAAGTTTTGAGTGATGTATTGAACAAGAGGTGTAAGAGTGGATGCCCTGGTCGCATTTCTGATTTTAGAGGGAATGCTGTTTTTGCTCACTTAGTAAGATATTGACAGTGGATTTGTCATAAGTGGTTCTTATTAGTTTGAGATAAGGTCTTGCTGTACTTGTTTTTGTTAGGATTTATTTTTTAAATCATGAACATTTGTTTGATTTTGTCAAAGGCTTTTTCTGCACCTATTGCATGGCTCATGTGGTTTTTATATTTAATCTTTTCATGATTGATTTAAGTTATGTTGAATAATCCTGTACCCCTGGGATGGAGGCAACTTGGTCATAATGCATGATCTTTTTAATTATTTTTTGTTTGTTTGTTTGTTTTTTCCTGGTACCTGGAATCGAGCTCACGACCTCATGCTTGCCAGGCAGGCCCTGTACTGCTGAGCTAAATCCCCAGCCCCAATCTTTTTAATTATTTGTTGCACTTTGTGTGCTAGAATCTTGTTGAGGATTTTGGCATCTATGTTCATCAAGGATCCTAACCTTAGTTCTGTCTGTCTGTCTGTCTGTCTCTCTCCCTTTTTCTCTTCCTATTGAATTTTTATCCAGTTTTGGTATCAGGGTAATATTGTGTTTAAGGAGTGAGTTTGGTAGTATTTCTTTCCTTTTGATTTCATGGAAGAATGTAAATATTTTTCACATTAGTTCTTCTCTGAAGTTCTGATAAAATTCAGCAGTGAATCCACTGTGTCCTGGGCTTTTTTTTACTTGGTAGAGTTTTTATTACTACCTCAATTTCCTCACTTGTTATTAGTCTAAGCAGGGTTTTTATATTTTCTTGGTTCAATTGTAGTAAGTTGTATGCATCTAGAACTTTATCCATTTCTTCTTTATTCTCTAATTTATTGGAATATAATCTTTTAAAATAGTTTCTTATACTTCTCTGGACTTCAGTGGTGTTTGTTGTAATTTTGCCTTTTTCATTTTTAATTGTGTCAATATGGGTCTTTTCTTTCCTTCGTTAGATAAGTTTCACTGAGCTTATTGATTTGATTTACAAAGGTATAGTAATAAAGAAGCATAGTACTGACACAAAAATAGATATAGTCCAATGTAATGGAATAGAACAGAAACAGCCCAGTGCACCATTAGCCGTCTGGTTTTTGACACAGGGGCTAGAAATTCATGCTGGAGAAAGTATAACCTTTTAACAAAGTGCTAAGGAAACTGGCTATCCACATGCAGAAGAATGAATCTAAGCCTGTGTCTCTCTTCCTGTACTAAAATCAAATAAAAAAGAATGGAGGACCTATGTATAAAAACAGAAACGTTGAATCTGCTGGAAGATAAAATAAGAAAAACACTTGAAGACATAGGCATAGGCAAGTACTTCATGAATAGATCTCCAACAGCACAAGAAATAATACCAAGAATCCACAAATGGGATTATATTAAATCAAAAAGCTCTAAGTGAAGGAAACAAAAGAATGAAATGGCAATGTATGGAATGAGAAAAAATGTTTTCCAGCTACTCTTCTGAAAGAGGACTAATATCTAGAACATATAAAGAACTAAAAAAAATTAAATCCCTCAGAACAAATGACCTAATTAAAAAATGAGAACATGAAATGAGTAGATACTTCTGAAAGAAGGAAATGCGAATGGCCAGTAAGTTCAGGATCTTTAGCCATAAGAGAAATGCAAATCAAACCAAAACCGAGATTCCATCTTACTCTGGTGCGAATGACTGTCATCAAGGACTCGCATAGCAGCAAATGCTGGCAAGGATGGAGGGAGAAAAGGAACTGTTTTCCACTGTTGCTGGGATGTGAATTAGCACAACCAATACAGAACTTGGTAAGGCAATTCCCCAAAAACTAAAAATAGAAATTCCATTTGACCCAGTTATTCCTCTCCTGGGTATCTTTCTTAATGAGTTAAAGAAATCATTTATGCTTATAGCATTATAATTCATGATACCTAGATGCTTATAAATGGATACATAGATAAAAGAAATGTAGTATATGTATACAATGGTGTACGACTCAGCCATAAAGAAGTACAAATTTGGGTCATTTTTATGAAAACTGAAGGATCTTGAGAATATAATGTTAAGTGAAATAAATCATACACAGATGGTTAAATATTACATGGTTTATATGAGAAACTCAAAATATAATAAAGAGTAAAATAAAAGAAAGATTACAAGAAACAGGAGGTAGATGCTTTGGAGATAGGGAAGGGCATGTGGGGGAGGGGTATGAGTGAGAATGAGGGGAAAGGGATAAAAGTTATCAAGATAGGATATACAATGTGTGATAAAAATACAGCGAATATTTTAAATAAAATTTTAAGAATTAGGGGTTTGAAACCCTGTATAATTTTTATTGTTTTTGCTTTGTTTTCTTTTGGTCTATGTTGTTGTTATTTTGTTATTTTGTTATTCTTTTTAAAATTAAAAAAGAAGAATTAGGGCTGTGGATATAGGTCAGTGGCACAGTGCCTGCCTGGCAAGTGCAAGGTCCTGGTACCAAAAGAAAAAGACATGAATTTTAAGAATTTATTACAGTAAAAGATACATAGCCAGTAATTCCCCTGAGAGTACGTTCTCTTACTTTCACACACTTTTCCCATCATTTTTGCCACTTCTGAAGAGGTTATGGAAGTGCTCTTTCTGGAGTGTCTTTAGTTGTGCTGTTGTGCTGTCTTAATGTTGTGAATTTATTGGCAGTGTTTACCTTGCATGGTTATTTTGACTTTGGGGAAGAACCAGGAGTTTCACAGTGTCAAATTCAATGGATAAGGTTCATGAAGACACACTGTGGTGCCTTAAGGGCTCATCTTCTTGGATCCCTTGGCAGCAGAACTCACCATGTTTAATCACAACTCCTAAAGGCACTCGCTAAAGGATATCCAGAACTGTTTCACAAGGACATCCAGGACAGCATCCTAAGTGGGTTTGAAGCAATGAGGAGTATTTTGAGAAGGATTAATGGTAATGTATCTTTCAGTATAATACATTTTAAAATTTTAATTTTTATTGGTACATGTTTATAATACACTATGATTACATTCATAGTGGGGCATTGGTACATGTACATAACACATCTCAATTCTTTCCCCCCCCCTCCACCCACTTTTCAAAATTTGTTAGCATCAGATTAATTTATAAGTCTTTATCAGTTTAATTATCATAAATACAGATTAACAGCTATACTAACACTTCAAAAACACATAAGACAATAATACTTAATCAAGATATACTTTTAGATATATTGTAGATTATACTTTTTTTTCTATTATCTGCCTTTTATTTTGCACTTTTTTATATATTAAGTTTCTCAGCTAAGAAAAATCATATGATATTTAAGCTTGTATGTCTGATTTACTTCAGTTAGCATTATAGTCCCAAAATACATCCATTTTCCTAAAATTGACTTGAGTTTATCCTTCTTTATGGCAGTATAATACTCCAAAGATTGCATTTTCTTTATCTATTCATCTTTTGATGGACATATATGCTGCTTCCAAGATTTAGTTGCAGTTTGTGCTACTATAAAGATGGGTGTGCATACAACATTGTGATGTGATTTCTTTAACTTTTCCAGGAACATACTTAGAAAGGGAATAGCTAGGTCAAATGGAATTTCTATTTTTAGTTTTTTGAGAAGTCTCCACACTGATTTCCATATGGGTTGTACAAGTTTACACTCTCACCAACAATGAAGAAAGGTTCCTTCTCCCCCACCTGTCAGCTCTTTAGCATTTGTTATTGGTGATTTTTTGACAATGGGAATTCTTTCTGGAGTGAGAGGGAATCTTAGTGCTCTTTCAAATAACATTTCTTGAATGGCAAGTGATGTTGAACATTTTTTCATGTATTTATTGGCTGCTTATACAGAGAATTTGTGCATGCAAGATGTAGAGGAGAAGGGACTCAAAGGCTCGACACACTGAGCCAGTTTGTGCTGCTTCCACTGTTGTGCCGCACTAGTGATGCATGGCCAGTATTGATCTCTTCAGTATTTCTCACTGCAAATAACCACCAATCACTGACAAATGCAGCTGCCTCTGAGAGAGGAGAGAGTGCCCAAGGCACCATTTTTAAAATTTCAGATATGGGAAAAGATTAGTTTAGTGAAGGCAATGTACTTATTACAGAGACCATCAATGCACCAGATTGTTATGCCTTTTGGCTGGGAAACAGGGAATTCCTCCCTGTAGTCTTAGTGATATAACTTTGCCAGAAACAATCCTACTTCCTGCCAACCCCATACTTAAACATGGGATTCGATGGTAACCACAAAGGCCTTCTGTTCTCAATGCAGTCTATGAGCAAAAGAAAACAAGGGAAGCCAAGAGGGTTGTGGGTGAAGACAGTGGGTGCTGTGGTGGGCAGAAATAAGGAGAAGAACGAGGGTAGGGAACTCTGAACGGAGTGCACCACACAAGAAGATCTGTGGGGAGTGCAGCCTGGGATTAGACAGAGTCTGACTTACAGGGGAGCTTGTTCTGCACTCCAACCCCATCTCCACTGCCTGGCTGTCCCAAGACTGGCTCTCCCTAACCAAAGCTGAGTCTGCGTGGTTCATTCAGTATCAGCCAGACTTTGTTGAGATAGATATACTCTTTTTCTAGCGAAAGAGTTATGAACTGAAACAAGAATAACCAGCTAGTTGACATTTCAAAGATGGAAAAAAAGGTCATAAATAAAAGCCAATAATTTCTCTGAGGTCTGCAGTTGAAGAGATCAGTGGGGCAGGACATGGGCTATTTCATTCTCTCTCTACCTCTCTTTCCTTTCTCAGTCTACTCCTCCCCTTCCTTCATATTCTCTGGCTTTCTCTTCTTGCCTGGAACTCCCAACACGAGGTCATCTTATTTCTCTCCCTTTGTCTTTTATTCTTTAGATAACTGATAATCATTGATGCTTTGAAGTTCATTTTTAACTTTTGTGTTTTTATTGACATTTTTACTGCATTTCTTAAGTAAAACACAAGCAACAATAAACCCAATAAATTAAAATACTTTACCCCTGATCTTGACTATGGATTGATTAGTTGGAGAAATATGAGGATGTAAAATAAAATAAGGCCCTTTTATTTTATTTTATTTTATTTTTATTTTAAAGATAAAAGGAGGGAAACATTAACAGACATACAACATTTTACAACATATCACAAGCACAATAAAGACAATACAGAGTTACAAACAAAGTGGTAGGGAATTAACAATGGTGGTTGTATTACATATTGATATCTTCAAAGTGGCTTCTCGTGAAAACATATAAACATGCAATACTGGTCAACCAAAGACTCAATGACAGTTTCTTTCAGCAAAGAAATAGAAGACAGTAGAACAACCATGTTAACTATCCTGTATATACATACATACAAAATTTCTCCTTCTTTCCCTTCTCTTTTCCCACATCCCAATAAGGCCCTTTTATTTGTGTAGAACTTGGACTACTGAGAAGGAATAGAGCCAAGTAATTTGTATGTGCCTCTCATGTAAGACAATCATTGAAAGCATTGGTGTGATGACTAGAATCAAAGCACTGTTCTGCCTTTTGTAAAATGTATGATTGAGAAAGTTCCTTAATCTTCCTGAGAATGACAACTTCAGCCTTCTTCCACTTAACTAATTTTCTGACTCTTAATATCAAAAACTCTATTGACTTTCAAAGTTATAATATTGGTGGTGTCCCAGTGAGAAGTCTAGAAAACCCCTCCAGCTAAATCCTCAGTGACAGTCACTTTTCATTTCTAGATGATGTAATTGGCTACCACATACAGTATTGTGTCTCTAAGCATTGTATAAGGCTCAGTCTTGTAGGGTAGGGTAGGATGGTAGTTAAAGGCCTGTGCTCTGGAACAGAGTACTTGTGTTAATTCTTGGCCCAACATTTTATGTCAGTATAATTTGGGCAAGTTATTTAGCTTTTCTGTGACTCAGTTTCCTCATCTATGAAGTGAATATCATGACAATAATAGTGCCTGTGTATGACCTCATTTGGAAATAGATGCAGTTAAATTAAAGATCTTGAGATGAGATCATCTTTATTTAAAGTGGGATAATGATATGTTTTTATAAGAGAAATTACAGGAAAATTTACATTCAGAGATGGGATAAAAGACCATGTGCACATAAGGCAGAGATTGGAATAATGTCAAGGAATACCAAGAGTCATTACAAGCTGGAAAATGCAAGAGTCTCTTCCACAGTTTGAAGGAAATATGCCCCTTGTCTTAGGTACTTTTCTCACTGCTGAGACAAAATGCCCAACACCTAAAGTTAAAAAAGGAACAATTTATTTAGCTCACAGTTTGTAGAAGTTTCAGTTCATAGTCAGCTGGCTTTAATGCAGGGTGGCATGGCAGAGTGGTATTACAGAGGAGAAGCAGTTCATGGTAGGCAGAAGGCAGAAGGCAGCAAGGCAGGAGGCTACAAGTGACAGGACAAATTAGGACCCTCTTTCTGACCCGTACATCTTATCCAGACTACATGCCCTTAGGGACACTCTTAATCATACCTAGAACTATCCCAAACTAATTGGTGGACTAATTTAGTAATCACACACCTTTGAAGCCAGCATCACACACTCTAGATCCAACCATCTGCACAAAACCTCACCCATGACTGCATGAGGCTTTGGGAGGACATCTAGATGAAAGTCCTAAAGCCCTGATGACCCCTTGATTTTGGACTCTGTCCTACAAAGTTGTGAAGATAAATTTCCATTGTTTTAAACCTCTAAGTTTATGGTAATTTGTTGTAGCAGGCCTAGGAAACTGGTACACATTTTATACAAGTGATAATAGTACATCTACTCATAATATTATAGGGGTTTAATTATTTATAATTGTCAAAGGATTTATTGTGAGTGTTAAACTAACTTTACCCTCACTATAATCCAATGAGTAGACATACTGTTATCTAAAGTGTTAAGAGTAAAATCTAGACTACAGTAAGATCTACAAGTATAGGGCGTTGTGTATGGTTAGCCCCCTGAATCTTACATAGCAGCTCTATGCAGTAGATACTATTAGGACTCTCATTTCATATTTGAGAAAATAGAGGGTCAGAGAAACTAAAAATGTGTCTCTGGAGTGTGCTGTAACTTTAAACATTCCTCAGAAGAATGTGGAATTTGGCTTTCTGCTGATGAATCCTGGTGACTGTTGACTTGGTAATCATGTCCTTTCTGCAAAGACTCTCAACTGGTGGGGCATCAAGTGGCCCAGGAGGTACTAAGAAGACTGTCCCATATGATGATGTTGTTTACTCCTCTTAGTGTGTCAGCATGGCCCTGGTGTGGGCCCAGGCTCCATTTAGAAGGAGCCAGGCTCTGTCCACCCTTGGCTGTTTGCCCTTGTCATCTTATAGCCTGACCTCATTGGAGATAGCCTCAGCACCTTATCACCATATAAAAGGCAGGGTATGCTGCCCTATAAGCTATGTCCTTGCTCCCCTCCCCGCTTCCCTACCTGATGGTTCCTTGTTATATAAATTACTCTGGAAAAAGTCGTGTAAGGCAAAGTTCTTACTAGGACCTTCAAAGCCCTATAGGCAAGGGTCTTGCTAAGTACTTCAGGCTGGCCTTGAATTCACTATGTAGCCCAGGCTGACCTTGAACTTACAGCGATTTTCATCCTCAACCTCCCAAATGCTGGGATTATGGATGTGTGCCACCATGCCTGGCTTTTCTTAGTTATCTTGTTTGTTGTCTTTTCTTCCAAACTGAAACACAAAGCACCATGAAGATAGGGACATTTATCAGTTTTGTTCACTGCTGTAACTTAGAGCTATTGTGTTTTTATTTTAAGACAAAAGATTTTAATGTATGAGTTTTTTTTTTTTAAACTAAAATCTCACTATTCAGATTTACTTGTAGTGTTGGGACTTCATGATAAATAAGTGGGTTTTGTATTGTTGTTTGAGCACTCACCTCTAAAGGATTTGCCATCGCTGACCTACAGTAACTCTAGGGCATAGTAAGAAATTGTTAGCTGACTAAGTGAAAGAATGAATAAAGCATAGCCCTCCTTTCAACTGCAAAACTGAAGTGGTTCACACCATTAAATTACTAGAAGGAGCACATGAAGAGAGGGTATGGAAGAAAACATATTTATTGAGCTTTGTGTTTAAGGAGGCAAGAAAAAAGACAATGGAGAATGAGAATGCAATTCCAAGTGAAGTATATTTTACACTGAACAAAAACTCAGATAATACAAAATTTTTGCATTCATCATTAGATATAGCTATGAACAAACTCAAGCCAGAGAAACAGTCCCTGCCCCCAGGGAGCTTACATTCTATTGGTCATAATATCAGGCATTCTGATCTTGGACACCAACAGAACAAGCAATAAGAAGCTACTGTAGATACTTGATTAGGAAGAGCCTCAATGCTAGAAGATCCTGCTGCTACTTGAAGGGTGGATTCTGATAAGAAAGAGTACTGGGAAGGGCAGGAGTCTTGAAAGGGCTGTTGTGGGAGATCAGATATGAAATATGGGTGGGGAACTGGGGGGAGTGGATATCAAGGTACACAGAAGGAAATAGGTGTAGAGCCTTGCACTGAAACAATGAGAAAGGATCTTAAACCCCTGAATATGAGAACAGCCTAGATATGTGTCCTCTGGTGGAAAAAGAAGGAAGGTGATGGAGACAGTAGGGAGACTTTGACTCTGAGAGTTGAGCAAATGGCAAGTTCAAGTTGGGACCAGTCCAGCTGAGCTTCAGTGCTTGTTCCATTCCTAAATTGTATAAATACGTGAAGGACCATAGCACTCTTCTGATGTTTGTTCACCAGCACTTATTCACATTTGCTGTTCTGTTCTCTATATGGCAAGCTAAATTTAGTCATGATGTGGCCCATCAGAATTGGAACAAATTTGAATCTAGTCATTTGCACTAGATCTACAAAACAAAATTTTTGTCATGTTAGCCTAAAATGACATCTGTCAATAGCCTAAAGCTGTTTATTAATGGAGTAATATTTAATGATACTATAATTTTGATGTCATGAGGTAGAGATGATAGAATTTCTCTGTACATCAGGATTTTGACTAAGGACACAATAAAATAATTTTATTTTCACTTTAGTATGATTTTAACTGTACATCCTAATGGCTGTTTCTCTATGAATTAAAAGAACCAGTGGTGTGTGTGTGTGTGTGTGTGTGTGTTGCTTCTGACATCGCTAAGTGGCTTGAAATCAGCCTATTTTCTTATAGCTTGAGTTTCAATTTTGTCTGTTAAGTTACTACCTGATTCTCTCACTTGTCACGGGAGACAAATGGGAAGAGATGGCAACTTTGAATTCTCTAGTATCGTGAGCCAAATCAAAAGGGGAAAAACCCCACGCTTTATCTTTGCATATTTTTGGTCAAATTGTTTTTTGAAAGAAAAATTTTTGAGGTACCGTTTTACAATGTGTAATAGAAACCACCTTTCTGCTACCTGTGGGTGAAATGAAGAGCATTTTAAGTGGAAGACGTCAATATGAATTTGCCATACTAGAACTTGATTGTAGAAGTTGCAGGATCTGAAAGACCTGTGAGGGGTCTAAGAGGTGGCAGTAATTAAGGAGTTCCTCTTTTTGTGTGTCTACAGTGCTATAGAAAACATGCTAGGCAAACACTCTACCACTGAGCTACACCCCCCAGCTCAGTGGGTCACTTTGTATGAGACTGTTTTGGACGGGTCAGCCTGGACTTCCACATCTAGCACCACTTCCTGAGAAAAGTCAGGCTTCCTCTATATGAGCAGGGCTTTTGAAAACTGCCTACAGTCTGTGGCCATACCACCCTGAACATGCTCAATCTCATCTGAAAACGGCCTACAGTATAGTCTTGAAAGATTTAGTATTTTAGTTACTTGCCTCTGGGTGCTCTAGTTTGTTACATGAGAAATAGACTTATCCCATTTCTTTGGTTATAAGGAATTTGAAAATTGTGTATGGAATATTCCTAAACTTTTCTTTCTAACTTCATTTGTCATATCTTTAATAAGAATACGATGAAGGGCGCCTGCCTGGCAAGTGCAAGGTCGTGAGTTCGGTTCCCGGTACCGGAGAAAAACCAAAAAAAAAAAAAAAAATACAATGAAGGGCTTGAATATATTCTAATAGTGCGGTATCATTGGAAAACTGGGCAAATGTGGAAAAGTGTGGGCTCATCTGTTCAGTGATAAAAACAGGAATTAGCAAGTGTCCTTGTTAGAAAAAGGAAGTAAAAGTAGCAGTTATAGTCATGTCAAGTTGGCATCCATCTCAGAGCTTTTGCAGTTTTCTGTTCCCTTTTTCTGGAACATTCTTACTCCTCCTCATAGATGGTATTTTCCTGTCATCGGGTCTCAGCTCAAATATCATCTCAGAGGTGTTGTTTTGACCCTGGATCTACTATCTCTTCCCCATCCCACCTCTGCTGAAGTTACTTTATCACATCCCTTGATTTCAGTTTCTTTTTAGCATGTGTCATGACCTGAAATTACTTACTTACATGCTCTTTCTCTGGTTTACCAAAGAGCAGAGATCTTATCAACCTTTCTTACTATAATAATTTGAATGCTAAGAATAATGCCTATGTAGACATGGAAGGAAAATGAGATAGCAAACTTGTCATTTATGAAAATAGAAGAACTAAATAAATAGACCTTTTGAATAGCTTGAATAGCATTCAGAATTTTATTATAGAAGAAATATTGTTGCAGTGTGCTGCCCATAGGTATTAAAAATGTTCATCTAAAAACATGCTTGCTAGAGTTGCGTTTGTCAACATCAGAACTTTGGTAGCCAAGATGGGGAATATTTAGGGGGCTTTTTTCTCAGATTCAAGAGCACTAGCATTAAAGAGGATATTTCTGCTACACTATTTTACCTGAATGTTTTGGCTTTAAGTAATTTAAATCTGGGTTTAAAGCATAAGTTTTATGGGAGAATAGGCTCAGAGTTGGTCGACTTAGCAGCTCAAAATAACAGCAAGGATTCAGGTTCCCTCCATCTCTCCATCTGCCTCAGTGGATATCATCCCATCCAAGGAGGACAATGAGAAGAAGAGAGACTATTTCTTGTAATTAGGTAGGTACCCACTGTGGTAGTGAAGGAATGAAATTACACAGACTGATCAGGACCATGCCTGATTTTGGGGGAGAGGAAAGTATCTAAACAAAATGGAGGCTTTTTTGGGAAGGAAGAAGGTGGAAATGCTGTATATCTCATCTACTGTTTCTTGTTTGTGAGCAGTACATAATGGTATTGCTAGCATTTTTTTATCCTAAATTTTGCAGTGAAGATTAGTTCAAGATTCAGGGGATTGTGGTGGTCTGGAGACACAGGCAGTTATAATCCTTTGGATAAAGTCCAAGATTCTGTTCAAGAGCATTGGGAGGAATTTCCATTTCAGGGTCTAGCTATCTGCTTCTTACCAAGGGGAGAGAAGAGGAAGAGACCTAGATTTCTCTTTTAGCCAACTTGGTCTCACTCTCTGACCTTAGAGAAGTGCAGATTATTCTGAAAGTCTTAGTTCCCCAGGATTTTTTATTACATTATCCTATTCTTCTTCCCCAAAGCCCAAGAGAAAATTTGAGGATAATTTCAGAAGTTAAGTGAGGAAGAGGTTGAACTGTCAGAATGGAGGGAGTGGTGCAACCATTTGATTTCCTGTTTACTTCTTCTATGATCTCTTTAAATCCAATTGAAGTAATTTTTATACACTTCTGTTGGAGAATTTCTTTTGTTTTTTGTGTTTTTTCCTTATATCCCATGGCAGGGTTAAAATAAGGACAGGATAATGTGAGTAATAGTCTGAAATATTCAAAACTTCTCAGCCTTTAGGCAATTCCCAATTGCCTATCATATAAAGGTGGTTGAAATATGAAGAGTACATTAAACCAGGAAATGTCACAGAGTAGTGGGATTTGATGTTTGATAATATATACTTAGTACTTTTTAATAAACATTTTGTGATAAATGTTTAAAATGAGATCTAATTTTATTATTTTACAGTGTATTTTGATATACCTATGTGATCTATTAAACAAACTACCAGTTTGAGACTCTTTATTTTGATCATTCCAAATCTGATCAGTGACCTAGTTTTGTCTATTCTTCTTTCTATAACTGGTAATTTAGTTCTGGCCTTCATCACAGTGCATACAGATCCATTTGTTCTTGAATTATTTCCCAATTACTTTGAAAGTGCTTAATGGATAAAGACATGCTTTAAAAATATGTCTAGGGTCTCCAGATAGACATCACAAGACCAGACAGAAAGGTGAGAAAAATTATTGTTTGTTAGTTTTTTGTTAATATTTTCTCTTATGATTTTGGTTTTAGATTCCAATGTGAAAAGATTTTGCTCCCAAAATATCCTGGCGATCCTTGGTTTGTCCTCTATCACTGCTGTGATAGCTTTGATTGCTGTGGGGCTGAGCCAGAACAAACCACTGCCAGAAAACTTTAAGGCAAGTCAAATCGTGTGTGTGTGTGTGTGTAAAAGAGGGGCCTGGATGTGGTGAGAAAAGAAGGGCTCAGATAAATTATACAGGGGGAATTGAGATTGTAGAAGCCCAGAAACAAGTCAATATCTATTGGATTAGGGGAATAAAATGGAAACAGATGTTCTTTCTAGAAGAAGAAATTCCTTGAATTTATTAGTGGTGGGAAGATAATTGTCTTTATGATTATTCAGTAAATTTATTAAGTCAATACTCTCTTGATAGGGATGGATGCTTTATTCATTTATTTTTTTTTAAGACTATGCTGATGCTCTATGATCTAGTACTATCTCCACTGTATATTCATTGTGTCATCATGGATTAGTCACAGTGCTGCCCTCTCTTTCACTCTTTTATCATCTCTGTCACCAAATCAATAACAGGTGGGGCTGGGAATTTAGCTCAACGGCAAAAGCGCCTGCCTCGCAAGCGCAAGGTCGTGAGTTCGGTTCCCGGTACCGAAGAAAAAACAAAAACAAAAACAAAAAAAAAAACAAATCAATAACAGGTATTAAATATCTCTGTGTTAAGCACTTCAAAAGTCAGAGATTGTCCAGAAGACATGTTTCTTCTCTACAAAAACATTAAACGAGCAAAACTGGTAGAAAATCAGAGAACATAAACATATAGTAATCATAGTTATTTGAAATTAATTCTTGGATGGGAAGATTTCCTGTTAAATTTTTAAATTTGAAGAGCTAGTTGGTATAATTAAAAATCATTAAGGTTATTAACTTTCTATGACATAGTCTGTTTTCTTTCCAGTTCATCCAAGTAAAGTTTCAGACATGAAACTTGTAATATGGACATGATTTTTATTTCATTTGTTAATTTAAAAGCATGAAGTAAATTTATAGTTACTTTATAACTATTCCACTGAAATGATCGTAAACAAATCTACATGTGTGCAGAGGATATGAGTATGATATTGAGCACATCTACACATGTTGGTAGTGACATATCTAGAAGTTAACTGGACCATGGAGGTCCTAGAATGTGTATATAGAAGTATATTCTCTTGTATTTGAAGATGATGAGCTGTAAGCTTGGAAAGATGGATGCACATGCCAGCCCTATAAAACTTTTGTCATGCATCCAAATCACTTGTTGTACAGCAAAGGCATGGGTATTGCATTGGCATCCTTTTGTTACACAAGTTCAACTCAGTGGACCTGTGTACAGCAGCTGCTTTGTCAGGGTAGAACGCTGAGGCTATCTCATCGGTGGTCTCTTGCCTTTTAATGTTGAGTGATGTTGGTTCTCTTGGCAAAACTTCACTCACAGTTGAAGCCTCATGACATCTTGGTTCTGCTATTTGTTTACTAGCTCCAAAAGTACATGATTGCCTTCTTGATTTGACCTTTTTTTCATATTCAGTATTGCATCACTGGAGAGCAGGACTGCCTAAGGGGCAAGATCCAGGGCAGACTGAAGCTCTTGTTCACAATGAATACTTGTGGTCATGGATGACTTCCTTTATTCACTCTGGTCTTCAAGTCTGTCACGCTTCTGTGTTGTTATGTTGGCCTGGAAAAATGGAACAAGAGCTTTGTAATTCTTTAAAGAAAAGGCATGAGTATTTGGAAATCAGTCACTGGCCCTGTCAAAGATAATTTCATATATTAAAAAGTAGCCATTTTGAGGTTATACACTAATATTGTAAGGTTTCTGGCATGTACTAGAGACAATATAGGTATACAACATTTCCATCACTGCAGAAGGTTATTGGAAGATGTAGTTAATCAATGAGACATTGCTGCTTTGGGATATATTATGATAATATCTCTGAAATCATTCAAAAGTAAGTTGAATGAATAAAGTATGTGATAAAACATTTTATAAAACCTAAAGTAAGGAAAAAATATTTTTATTGTATGGTTCGTAAACTAATACCACGATCATCTCAAATATTATGGGTTATGAAACTGTTTTGAGTAGTTGTTATAAATGTGCAGTCATCCCTCATTATCTGTGGAGGATTAGTTGTAGGAGTCTCTTGTGATTACCAAAATCTGTGGAGGCTCAAGTCCTTTATATAAAGTGAGGTATTTATTAATGGAATGTCTTATACACATCTTTCCATATGCTTTAAATTAGCTCTAAATTATTTGTAATACCTAATACAATATAATATACCTAATACAGTACAATAAATGTAATATAATACGATACAATTTAGTTCTATCTAAATAGTTGTTATAGGGGCTGGGGATTTAGCTCAGTGTCACAGCGCTTGCCTGGCAAGTGCAAGGTCATGAGTTCAATTCCCGGTACCGGAAAAAAACAAACAAAACAAAAAATAAATAAATAAATAAATAGTTATAGCTATATTGTTTTGGAGATAATGAGAAGAAAAAGCCCATCTTTACAAGATCAATACAGACGCAATTTAAAAAAATAATTGTTCTGCAGCTGGTTGAATCCATAGGTATAGAACCCATGAATATAGAGTACTGACTGTATTTGCTTCTGAAAAATGGCTATTTAAAACATAACAGATATTTGTACTTGTGATGTTTTGTTTATGCTAATGATACAGTCCTGTTTTATTTCTTCCCGATCCATTTGGGTTCAGCCTCACTGGGGCAAGGCTGGAGCACATTTGACATAACACATCAAGAGCTCTTTATTATACAGATGTGTTTACTTGGCTAGCTGCTTCTAGACTACAAGCACATTGAAGATAACAACTAGATTTTATTAGTCTTTCCATGCATCTTATGTATTCATTCATTTAAAAACAGTTATTAAGCATTTACTCTATAGGGGAGAGTAAAGTCTTTTATTTGTCAACCAGCTCACAGTATAATTCTTTAAATAAGCACGCTGATAGAAGCAGGGCTGGCCCTTTGGGTGTGTTAGAAGGGTGATGTTCATGTCAACAAAGGTAGACAGAATAGAATGTCTTGATTCCAGATAAAGGGTACTTAGTTGTTGCTGCCTCTCTAGTCCTTATCATATACTACTACTTTTGGAAAATTTTCTGGCAAGAAGATTTCAAGGGCCCTGTTAGGGAGCAACACAAATTTCTACTGTGTATCTCTGGTGCCTCTTTCTCAATTATGAGAGATTTCCCACTGAGCCAAAGGTCTCCGACCTCAGTCAACATCCTTCCCTGCCTTCAGTGGTCATCACTGAACTTCAGTTAAATAAAGATATTTATTTTGGTTGTATAACCCTCAGTGGATTATCTCAGTGGTTCCCAAATTTGTCTGCACATTAGAATCACATAGGATCTTATAAAAATTCCAAAGAACAGGCCACGTTCCAGACCAATTAAATCTCAATATCTGGGGGTCTGACACAGGCCTGACAGTCTTTGAAGTTCTCCACGTGATTCCAATGTGTAGACAAGTTTGAGAACTGCTGGATGAATTATTTTCTACACCTCTCATAGTGTCTCAGCTACTTCAGCATGTGCATCTGAATCCCAGCTGCACATTAGAATCAGCTATGAAGCTTTGAAATTATACTGTTGTTCAGGCCCCACCCTGGGTAACCTGTAAATGTTTCTAATGTACAACCAGTATCAAGAGACTATCTTAATGGGTGTTCTTGTAACTCATGATCAGGATAACTCTAGCCTCCCAGCCTCCCATCCTACCCAACATTCCTCTCAGATTAAAATATTGTACTTTATCCTTATGCTTTGGAAAACTCCCATCCTTGTCCCTTTCCCACTGCAAGCTGAATATGGAGAAGAATGATATGACACTGATACTTTTTTAAAATTTGTTTTGCCCTCAGTATGGGATTGTGCTGGATGCAGGCTCTACTCACACAAGTTTGTATATCTACAAATGGGCAGCTGAAAAGAACAATAACACAGGGGAGGTGCATCAGGTAGAAGAATGTGAAGTGAAAGGTAAGATGATGCAAGGGAAGGGGTACAGTGGGACACGAGAATGTGAGAGGTGAAGAGCAAGTACAGGAAAATAGAAAAAGAAGCTCTGAGCATGGGAAATCAAATAAAGAACACAATGCAGCTACTGTTGTTATTTTATCATTATAAAAATAATATTATGGGGCTGGGGATTTAGCTCAGCGGCACAGGGCCTGCCTGGCCAGCACAAGGTCCTAAGTTCATTTCCCGGTACCGGAAAAAAACAACAACAACAACAAAAAATTATAAGTATCAATTATTTGCATTTTTAAAGATGAGAGTGTCAACATTGAAAAAGGTCAGTACCTCTTTTTAAGGTCACTTGAGCTAGTAAGTAATGGAACTGGGGTGCAAACTGAGGCCTAATGAACTTAAAACCCACACCTTAGCCAGAGGTTCTCAGACTTGAAACTGCATCAGAATCACCTGGAAGGGGTTTTAAATGGATACAGGGCCCCAAGCCCAGAGTTCTGGAGTTAGATCTAGGAGGAGGCCCGAGAATGTGTATCTCTAACGTGTTCCCAAGTACTGCTGCTGGTAGTCTAGGGAATTGCTGCTTTCTCAATCTTTGTCCTCTAATTTACGGTTTAGAAGAAATTTTCCAAAGCTTTCAGTCTCTGTGTAGCAGGAAAGACCAGATCAGAGATTCTTAGGCTAGGAAAAGGACCTAATGGATCATTTAAATATTGTTTTATAGAGAAGAAAACAAAAACCTGGAGGATTAGTGCCTGACATGTTAGCAACAGAACCAGGATAAGAATCTAGGTCTCCTAAGTACCCTCCAGGCTTCCTGCTACTCTGTAATGCCACCACATTGCAGAGTGCTTTTTTTTCTAGTCTGTTTTAAGGTCACAGTCTAAAGAGGTTGTTGACAGTTTGTTTCTCTCCATTCCCTGCACCTCAGCATGTACTAGACACTTCTATGTCACACCACGATCTGTCTGGCCTTTATCTTTTTTGGCCTTTTCAGCCAGGAACGTACTGTTTATTTTCAGCTAGACAAATAACCTATATTCCAGAAGATAATGAAGTTTTAGTCTGATGGCCTGTAGTGTCCATTAATTTTTATCAAGAAAGTAGTAGACAGAAGATATTTTCAAGAGAGAAGGTCATTTTACTCAGAACCCTGGTACCCTGAGAATTTTGCCCCATCAATACTGAGACAATATTTCTTACATATTTTAAGATGCCAATCCCTCATTTTATTTAATTCACTCCCTTCTACTTTTTAACGGTTTGTTTTTTAATCTAGCAGATCTCTTTCTTCCAAGACTCATCCCATGAGTTCATGAGTGTTTGGTCTAACAAATACAGTATTTTTCCCTTTTGAAAGAAAGTTAATCAAATATTTAAAGCCAGATTATCTGAGTCAAAATAGCTGACAACCTAGATGTGATTTTCTCATTATATTTAAATAACTTAAATAATCTGTTTAAAACAATGTGAATGATCTATTGGAATTATTTGAGTAATTATCTTCAAAGAATACTCCTTATGAAGCACTATGTAATATTTATCTTAAAGATTATTTTGTTTGTTTTTTTTTTTTTTGGTACCGGGAATTTAACTCACAACCTCGTACTTGCCAGGCAGGCACTGTGCCTCTGAGCTATATCCCCTGCCCCTGTAATATTTATCTTAATGTGAGATGAAAATGTTGAGTGTTAACTTCAAAAAGCTTATGGAATCTTAGCTCTACTCCTCACCATAGCGACAGTGAGTTTTTCTCTAAAACCTGAAAAACAGTTTACTAAGGCAGCAGAGTATTGGAATGGAAAAGTCACTGAAGAAATGTTGATTCTATTCCTGTTTCACCTAACAAAAGAAGAAACTCTACCTCAGAAATTTCAGGGTGCTGGCTGTGACCACATAGCTAGTTAGGAGCAGCTTCTATCTTTTTAAAAATCAGTAGATATGGTACTTATTTTAATTTTAGTTCTAAATATCATTTTATTTATTTAGTCTTCTAGGAAATAATGTTATTAGTAAAAGAATCATCCAGAAGTAGCTAAGAGTGTACCTATCTATAAGATCCCTATCAGAATCTGAGAGAAAATGTTACATGGTTGAATATGAAATTGCACCATCCAGTGGTGAAGTTATTGAATACCAGACAGATACAACCCAAGATTTAAAAATTAAATCATACTAATGCTAGGTTCAAAGAGTTACTCTGTAAGTACAACAATCTAATATATAGCACATCAGGAAATTGTTTTCTTGTATTTTCTCAACCTACACTACATTTTGCTATAATATTGTCAAGGTATACACTATACATTTTTGTCATCTTCTATGTCTTTCCCTAGGTCCTGGAATCGCAAAATATAGTCATAACCTAGATGGTCTAAACACATACCTGACTGAATGCATGGAAAGGTCCAAGAATGTGGTTCCAAAGTCCCTGCACCCAGAGACCCCTATTTACCTGGGAGCTACAGCGGGCATGCGGTTGCTCAGGTATAGCAGCATGTAGGGACCAAAAGTGGCAGGTATTAGAAACAGTGCAAGAACCTCTGAAATTATGGGGAAAGCCACACTTCCCTAACATCCCAAATTCTCCTTCCTCTGTCAAAGTCGACATCTAAGAAGAAAATTTCAATAAGTGAGTAAAACTCCCAGACTCATAGTATTCATAAGTAGTATCCATAGTAGTAAGATTTTAAGTATATAAAAAAACTTTGCCTAGCTCCCTGTGAGGAACTCAAGGGAAGGGGGAGAGTAGGACTGAGCCGATGCTTGAGATTTGGGATACAGACTTAGTCAATCAGTATCTGAGAGGAGGATGAAGACTAGAGGAGACCCATAGATAACCCAAGACAACTAATCACACTAAATTTTTATTTGGTCACCACTTGGTACCTGTGTGTGTTATTTGTTTACCTGCTCATTCATTCATTCACTCATTTGTGTCTCATGAGTACCCGCTCTTCCTAGAATATGGAAGTAGGTGACTCAGCCCTCAAGGAAACCAGAGTGTCCTTAGAGGTTGATCAATTTTTTTGATGGAGGAGGCGCAGAGCTGCTGTGGGGGGCACTTGGTGCTGCCCAGAATGAGACACTGTGGTCAGAAAGAAGTGTCAAAGAAGGGGATGAGGCAGCGGGTAAGGGGAAGGCATGGCAGACAAAGCAGGCAGCATGCATATGCATCCAGTAATAAAATTTTATTTGGCACTTATTTTGTATCAGGCACTGTTTTTAAGTGCTGGGGTTACAGCACTGAATAGGACAAAGTCCCTGACTTCATGGCATTTCTGTTCTAATGGATGTGCAAAGTCAGAGAAATGAGGGAAATGGGGATAAAGTCAGAAGACTGAGTAGTTTTGCATAATAGAAGATAAGGGCCAATGCTGTAACCTTATTACATGTTTTATTACTATGTAAATTTTATTACTTTTATTTTTGAGACAGGGTCTCCTTATGTAGTTCAGGCTGACCTTGAACTCATTATGTAGCTGACCTGGCCTCAAACTCAGGAGAATCCTCCTGCCTCAGCCTCCTGAGTGCTGGGATTATGTAATGCCACCATGCCGTTTATCATTATATAATTTAATAATAATAATAGATCATATTTTTGAACACTTGCTATGTTCTTAGTATTGTGTTATGCACTTAGCACAGTTTGTTTAATATAATCATAACTCTTTAAAGTGAGAGATATTACCAACTATTATAAACAAGATAATGAAGCTGTGGGTTATAAATGTTAAGTAATTCACCAAGGGTCACATGCCTGGTAGTTATAGGATGCGAGTGGGATTTTGAGAAGGTAGGATCACAGAGTGTCTTTCAGGCCATGCTAGGAAGTTTAGAGTTTATCTGGAGATAATGGGAAGCCATTTAATAATGTTACATAATTGGTACCACTGGTAGAGAAGATGGATTATGGAGGAAGAAAGCTAGGGATGAGAGGAAGGCAGACGGTAGATATGGGCATCATTCCAATTAGAGATTACAGTTAGAATTACAGTTAGATGGTAGTATCCCCCCAACCAAAAACTAGAGGCTGTCAGTATTGCATAGCCTAGATTTTGGAAGTGATTGCATCCCATCTTCACTAGAAAAACCTCGAAAAACTCCTTCTTTAGGTCCCAAGGTCTCCAAGGACTGACAATATAAGGAAGATTTTTTTCCTCAGTCTGGCAGCAAGGGAGGTTGGGTATCTGTTCCTGGTCACTTGCCTCCTGCTTTCTGCTATAGCCGAGGGTTCCTCTGACAACCACACGTGAACATCCCCACATCTCTGTTTATTCCCTTGTGTTTTAGTCCATGCCTTAGGATCCTTGCATGAAAGCACTGGCTGAAATGAGTAGGTATAATTGTTAAGACACAAATGCTAACATCACCTCTTCTTTTATGTAGAATGGGAAGTGAACAACTGGCACAAAGCGTCCTGGATGAAATATCGGATATTCTTAGCAACTATGCCTTTGACTTCCAGGGTGCCAGGATCCTCACTGGCCAAGAAGAAGGTGCCTATGGCTGGATTACTGTCAACTATATTCTGGGGACTTTTTTTCAGGTGACTACTTCATAGCACCCATGAAGGTGGCTTTCTGGAGGCCAATGCCATTGCCATTTCAGACAGTACTTGGGACACTAGCCCAAATCTGTGATAAATGGATGGATGGATGGATGGATGGATGGATGAGTGAGTGAATTTACTTCCACATTAGTAAGGATCACCTAAGACAATAGCACCTCTTTTACTACTGAAGAATATGGAACCCATGTCTTCATGTTAGGAAGACAGAAAAGAAAAGAAAACTGATCATTAAAATAAGTATAGCCAATATTGCCTAGTGTTGTGTGTCTTGTGCTATTCCCTTTTCATGTGCTGTGTAACTTCATTCTCAAATATGAGGTACTGTTATTATCCCTGTTGTAGTCAGGGTTTGCAAGAGGAATAATACAGGACTGTTATGGTTTGTGTCTAGATGTCCCCCCCAAAGCCTCATGCAGTCATGGGGCTAACTTCTAGAGTTTATGACTGATTCATGGTCCAGTGCTGGGATTATGGGCGTGAGTGCTACACCCACCCTGGGGCAGGTAGCCTGCATACAAAAATAAGGGAAGGAAAGAGTCTTGCTCTCTGCTGCTTCTCCATTTTGCTCTTGCTGCTTTTGCTGTTTTCTGTCACCATGAACTGTTGCCCTCTGCCATATGCCACTCTGCCTTGGAGCCAGCCAAGTATGTACTGAAAGCTCCACCAACTGTGAGCTAAATAAACAATTTCTTCCTTAATTTTGGATGTCAGGTATTTTGTTCCAGCAATGAGAGCAAAGTAATGATGACAAGGACACATAATTTATAAGATTATTTTATAATACTCACCCAAAGAGTCATATATAAAGAGAGTGCAGGAAATCTGTCCACATACTAAAGACCAAAAGTATCCAGCTGAGGGCCTGGACGCCATGGCAATGTCCTGCATGAGTCTAGCTGAAGATCTAGAGCCCATAATAATGCTTGCACTAGTCTAACTGGGGGCCTAGAGCCCATGAAAATGTCTCATGCAGGACTGTTTCAAGGACCTGCATTGGGAAGGCCCAAAGGTCAGTGGTGGAAGCTCAAAAGTCTGCACCAGCGGGATGAAGGATCTGTGCCAGCAGGCTGAGGAATCTGCACTGGAGCCAGGAAGCAATGCCCAAAGCAAGAACCAGAGCTCCCCCAGAAGGTACCACAGCCATCCTCACTAACAATGAAGTCTTGAGCTCCTTCTCCAATGAGAACAGCTAAGTCTGTATCAGGAAAGCAAGTGCAGCAAGTTTCTTCAGGATTCGACCAGTGCACCATCTTCCCCTCCAGAGCCAGGAAGCAATGCTCAAACTAAGGACCAAAGCTCCCCCAAAGTGAACTTCAGCCATTCCCAGCAACAATATGGTCCTGAGTTACTTTATTTTAAATTTTTTTTTATTTTGAAAAATAAAAGAAGGAAAACATATTAACAAACAGACATCCATTTACAAAATAGCATAAGAACAATACAAACAACACAGAGTTACAGACAGAGTTGCAGGAAATTAACCATGGTTGCTGTATTACTTATTGATATCTTCAAAGTGGTTTCTCAGGAAAACAAATAGAGACATACAAGATGGATCAAACAAGTAATCATTAACTGTTCCTTTCTGGAGAGCAATATCAAAAAAAGGAAGGAAAGAACTCAAATTCATGCATTAAGGAATGAAAAGGATGAAATTACTACAGATTCCACAGAAATTCAGATCATTAATACCTACTTTGAAAATCTTTACTCCCATAGGATAGAAAACTCAGAAGAAATGGACAGGTTCCTAGATATGTACGAATTACCAAGGTTGAGTCAAGAAGATATAAAAATCCTGAGCAACCCAATATCAATTAATGAGATTGAAAATGTGATTAAAAACTTACCAACAAAGAAAAGGCCAGGCCTTGATGGATTCACAGCAGAATTTTACAAGAAATTCAGAGAAGATTTAATACCAACACTCCTCAAACTCTTCAATGAAATTGATTTTTTTTTTCCCGGTATCAGGAATCGAACTCATGGCCTTGCGCTTGCCAGGCAGGCACTGTGCTGCTGAGCTAAATCCCCAGCCCCTCTTCAGTGAAATTGAAAAGGAAGAATTCTCCCTAACTCATTTCTGGAGGCAAGCATCATACTGATACCAAAACCAGGGAAAGACCCAACCAAGAAAGAGAACTACAGACCAATCTCCCTAATGAATATAGATGCAAAAATACTCAATAAAATACTAGCAAGTAGAATGCAGCAAATCATCAAGAAAATCATACATCGGGGCTGGGGATTTAGCTCAGCG